CCATGAAGAAGATTTCATGGTTGTGGTAACTTCAAGGTGTTGCAGAAAAAATGTTGTAATTACTTTCAATGGTTTGATGAAGACATGAGCAACAAAGCAAAAGATCTAATTAGAACTTTGAAGGACAAGAATGACAAGATTGTTGCTTTACTTATGGACACCAAGAATAGTGAAGATTTTCTTAAGATGAAGATTAAGTTGATGCCTTATTTTGTTGGTTTATGTATGGTGTTTGTGTTGTTAATTGTGTTTGCATTAGTTCTAACACATGCACTCAAATGAAGTTGGTTGTAGGGTATTATCTATCATTAGATCTGATGTAATTTCTCTTCTTGTACTTGAATTGTTAGTTTTAATGGAATGACCCTAAATTTTCCAATGTTGTGTATTTGAATTGTTACAGTATTATCTGTAATTAGATCTGCAAGTTTGCCCATAATTTTCCAATGTTGTGTAATAAATTTTTTGCCCAAATTGTTACAGTTTAGCAGCATAGTTTTAATAAAAGCTTAAAATATTTCACAAACATGTAATAACTTGTAACCATAATTTTCATAACATAACAGTTTAGCAAGACAACAACTTAAACATGACCCTAAATGTTTTGGTCATTACAAAAGAGATAACAAACAACATAAAACAAACTGCAACATAACATAGTGACTATTCTTGGGTTGCATAAAAGACTACCAGGGCAACAACTTAAACATGACCCTAAATGTTTTGGTCATTATAAAAGAGATAACAAACAACATAAAACAAACTGCAACATAACAGAGTGACTATTATTGGGTTGATGGCGGTGCTTGTGATCCTCCTGCTATTACCATTTGTCCAGCAACTTTGTCAACCTTTTTTTTTGCCTTTTTATTGCCACCTTTAGGAATCGCTCTCTTTGGTGCGCTCTTCACTTTACACGTTCTCTTGTTATGGCCAAAGCTACCATATTTCTTGCACTTGATAGTTTGAAGACTTCTAGGAAGTGCATTTCTTGTTCTTGGTTCATCATTTGCCTTGTTGCGATTCTTCTTTGGATAACCGATAGACCTCCTCATGACTGGAGGGTTGATTAGATTAGTAACATTAGCAAGCCATAGTTATGGGCCATTAGTTGGCATAACAATATGGCCATAAGTTGCCAACACAGTAGACTTCCTATTCACATAAAAATTATGCATTAGTAAGTTAACAGATTATGACTAATTAACATAATATGAGAAGTAGTGTTACCTATATAACGATGAAACAAAATGTTCGGGCTCTTTCTTGGCATACCATATGCAAGAGATAATATGGCAACATGGGATTCCTGTTAAATCCCACTTCCTACAACCACACTTCTTTTGCAGAAAGTTAACAGAACACGTCTCAACATCGTTTGAAACCCCAAAAATAGAAAAGTCATCATTGGAATGACATGTTGCAATCCACTCTTCTGCTGCCCTCTTTGTTTTTTCCAATACTTTTTGAACGTTAGGACTTATTACACCATCGTACCTATGTAATTTCTCCTTTTGAGTTGAAATTCTAACTGTTATGTAATGTTTGATTCCATCTAGTAGTGAAATGACTAGCCTATCTCTATATTCCAATATCGCTCGATTAAAAGGTTCACACATGTTGTTGACTTATAAATCACACTGCATGTTTGTCTTGAAATGCGATCTACTCCAACATGCAACAGGTACAGACATCATGTCTTTCCAAGCATTCTCATTGAGCTCTTTCATCAAGTTCATTTCTCTTTCCCATCAAGTATTGTTGTGGCCTTAACTGCTCTCCATAAAGCTTCCTTCATATGTATCCCAAGATATTTCTTCCTCAAATTTCCATACAAGTGTTTAACATACAACTTATGTTTAACATGTTTGCTTGTCTCTAGAATAGATGGTACCAGACCCTATGCAATAAGATGACATATTTAAATACACCATATGACATATTTAAAGACATGATAAGTCAGTAGAACTAACCTTCTGTTGATCAAATATAAATCCGTAGTCCATGTCTTGAATGGATTACAAATCTTCAAGTAATAACTTAAGGAACCATTGTCAAGAGTCCTTTGTTTTAGCTTCCACTACGGCATAAGCGATTGGATAAATTATTCTATTTTTATCCTTCCCAACAACACATATTAACTGACCTCCAAAGTCCCCTTTTAGAAAATAAGCGTCCAAGCCAATTAAAGACCTACAAGTGGTTGCAAATGCTGCCTTACAAGCCTCTAAACATACATATATTCTTCCAAACACAAGTCCAACATCTGAAACAGCACACTTGACTTTAACATTAGAATTTGGATTTGACTTTAACAACTCCTCAGCATAACTCCTAAGATGGTTGAGTTGATCTCGACCAGAACCTTGAATTAACAATATAGATTTTCTCTTGGCTCTATAAGATTGATGGCTTGACAGCTTCACACCTCATCTCCTAACACTTTCTGCAATCAGCCCTTTATTCTTCATTTGTGGAGTGTGTCTTAGGGTATCCACAAACTTGCGAGCTAACCATTTTGTTGTTGCTTGACTATTCTTGGCTGTCCTATGGAAAGTATGTCGATCAGTGAAGCTAACAATTTGCCAAAATTGGTTGGTGGACCTCATGCTAAACCTAATATGAAATGGACAACCTACAATACATTTGGCAACCACTCTCTTCTTGTCATTCTTCATGATTTTGAGACTCTTTTTGTTCTCCATAGCAAACTCCTTAATGGTATTTCTTATTTGCTCTTTATACTTGAACATAATCCCTACTTGAAGTTTTGTAGATCCTTTAAAAGTTGGAAACCTTTCCATATCAACTTCGGCATCACTATCGGTAGAGTATGAAGCACATCTGAATCACAACTTTCATTATCAGAAATATCATTCATCCTTGAAGGTTTTTCCGTTGTAACTGTAGGGAGAATTGTCTGCCAATCAACAACAACATCCTGACCTAAATCGAAATCATCTAAGTCAACTTCTTCATCATCATCCTCACTGCTCAATTTATAATCTGGATCTGTTTCACTATCTTCAGCTGAATTTTCAACATCAGTAACCTCTACATTTTCCTCCTCACTAACTTCTTCATTATTAACCTCTACATTTTCATCTTCACTAACTTCTTCAGTAACCTCCATGTTTTCTTCTTCTGTAACTTCTTCAGTAACGTCCACAGTTTCTTCCACAGTTTCTCCCTCATCATTAACCTCCATAGTTTCCTCAACATTAACCTCCACAGTTTCCTCAACAGTTGGCCCCTCCCCATTAACCTCCACAGTTGCTCCCTCACCATTAACCTCCACAGTTGCCCCCTCACCATTATCCTCAACAGTTGCTCCCTCAACATTAACCTCCACATTTTCCTCAATAGTATCTCCCTTAATATTAACCTCCACATTTTCCTCAACAGTTGCTCCCTCCCCATTAACCTTCATAGTTTCCTCAACATTTTCCTCACCAATACTTTCCTCCTCAAAAATAACATCTTCAATACATACTTCTTCAACTTTGTGTTCTACATAGATGTCAACTAGTTTAAATCCTCTTACATATTTCACTAACCTTAACATGTCGTTGTCATTATTCAGAGGCCGAAGTTCACGTGAAAAGGAAATGTTGGGATTCCAATACCATAAGCACTTGATGTTACAATACCCCTCTGCTTTGATCAAGTCTTCAACTTTCATATACGACCGGAAATCCACATCACAATCCCAATCCATTTCAGTAACAACCTCACCAACATACAACTTCACTGAGTTATCTACAAAACATCCCCGATGATGTAATCTCAGTCTGGCAAGTTGGGTGTCGGATGACCTGCAACAAAATATATTAGGAACGACTCACAGACATTAGGGACCACATTAGGGACCACAACGTAGACAAGTCACATAAAATAATCAGTAAAGGCAATAGAACATAAAGAAATCGGGGGTATAACCACAACAACAACATAAGGAATACTGGGATGGGACCACAACATCAAACAAAAATCCTAACTTAAGACCACAACATCAACATACATAAGATATACGAACAGAGGGACACCGACCTTGTCATGTAGCTTGGATTATCCATTGATGAGCTGCACGGAGAGAACGATGCTTTGCAATGACGATTTAGGGTTCGTTGGTCACATATAAAGAGAGATGAGTAGACAGAGAGTATAACTTGTTTTGTTTTGGGATGTCACTCATGAGAAATGAAATGTTGCATTTACTTCTGCAGTTAACATAATGAAAGCTTATTTGCGTAAATTAAACATTATTTCTCAAAATAAAATTAAAAAAATTGAATTATATTAATTTGCATGACATGGAACTGACACATCATCAAAAACATGTCATACAAAAACGCACCCAGATTTGAAGGGGGACCGAAACTCACGTTAAAAATTTAAAAAGAGACTAAAATAGTAAATTTAAAATGGGGGGACCAAAATCACATAAAGTGCTAGAGAGACCAAAATTGTAATTAAGCAAAATTTATTTATATTCTCCTATTTATTAGAACTTGTAGGGAAAAAAAAGGAAAATGAATTAATTTAAAACGCATGTTATAAAATAAAATTAGTCAAAAGTGTTCTATATTTTAGATACTAGGTTCAACTATATTGAAATAATTAGAGGTATCAGTATATTGTATTGAAATAGTTAATGTAGTTTGACATTTGGTTCCATTGATTTGAATTCCTTTACCATGTTTATCATCTCGTATAAACAACAAAACAAATCAGATTTTATTTGAAATCGTGTACCATGTTTATCATCTTGTATAAACAACAAAACAAATCAGATTTTATTTAATTAATTCTACCATGTTTATGCTCTTGTATCTAAAATACTCTTAAATTCATGTTAGTGCTTCATAACTCTCTCTTTCTTTCTTCTCTCTCTCTATGGCCATAACATAACTATAAGCAAAAACTCTTGATTCTGAAACCACACAATTTCTTAGAATCCTTTAAGGTTTCCACAACAAGCTCAACTATTCTAGTACATTATGTCCTTTGTGAGACCTGTTTTCTTGCATGGCTTATCTGGTTTCTTTCATTTAGTGTTGTTAGCATTACTTTTACTGTCATGGTTGTGGAAGAAACTCACTATTGAATCCATACACAATTCGAGAGAGAGAATCAAAAACACCTTCGTCACAAAGACTATTTTTTTCTGCTCTCTTTCTGTTTCTGCTTTCAATATTTTTCTATGTTCTTCTGATTACTTGAGTTGGTCTAGAAATGGTTTTTCAAAAGAAAAGCTTGTGACCCTTTTGGATTTGGCGCTCAATACAGTTACTTGGTGTGTTATTTGTGTTTGTCTTCACAGAAAACTCTTGTGTCCAATGCCATTGTTCTTTGGAGCTTGGTGTACCATTTACCTTTTTGTTTCATGTTATTGCTTTACTGTGGACATTGTCCTCTATGAAAAGCAAGCTCCTTTGCCAATTCAGTACTTGGTTTCTGATGTTTTCTCTCTTTGTGTGGGTTTGTTCATTTGTTACTTGTGTTTTTTGAAGAAAAATGAGGGTGGAATAGAAGATACTACCACTCTTCAACAACCTCTTTTCAATGGTGATACAGAAGAAATAACCAAAGGGGATGAAACTGTTACTCCTTACTCTAATGCTGGTACTTTCAGCATTCTCACTTTCTCTTGGGTCTCTCCATTGATTGCTATTGGAAAGAAGAAAACTCTAGATCTTGAGGATGTTCCTCAACTTGACATAAGAGACAGTTTATTTGAAGCATTTCCATATTTCAAAGATAACCTTGATGCATACTGTGTTGATAACAACAATAGAGTGACCACATTCAAGCTAGTGAAGTCATTAGCCTTCTCAGCATGGAAAGAGATTCTTTTGACAGCTATTTTTGCATTGGTAAATACATTTGCTTCATATGTAGGTCCCTATCTTATAGATAATTTTGTTCAATATCTTAATGGACAAAGAAATTTTGAATATGAGGGACTAGTTTTGGTGTCTACATTTTTTGTGGCAAAGCTTGTGGAGTGCCTGACAAAAAGGCAATGGATTTTCAGGCTGCAGCAGGTTGGAATTAGAATCCAAGCACTGCTTGTAACAATCATCTATAATAAAACTTTGACACTTTCCAGTCAATCCAAACAAGGCCACACTAGCGGCGAGATAATCAATTTCATGACGGTTGATGCCGAAAGAGTCGGCGACTTCAGTTATCACCTGCATGATCTGTGGTTGGTGGTTCTACAAGTTTTAGTAGCTTTGTTGGTATTGTATAAAAACCTTGGCATTGCTTCGATTTCCGGGTTTGTTGCAATTATGATTGTAATGTTGGCAAATGTTCCTCTGGGGTCAATCCAAGAGAAGTTTCAAGACAAGTTGATGATGTCAAGAGATAAGAGAATGAAGGCGACATCTGAGATTTTAAGGAACATGAGGATTCTCAAACTTCAAGGATGGGAAATGAAGTTTCTTTCTAAGATAACTGAGCTCAGAAAGACTGAACAAGATTCATTAAACAAGTTTTTATACACTATAGCTTTGATCATTTTTGTATTTTGGAGTGCACCAGCATTTGTTTCTGCGGTTACTTTTAGTACTTGTATGGTTATAGGGGTGGCACTTGAATCAGGGAAGATCTTGTCTTCACTTGCAACTTTCCAGATCCTCCAAGAACCTATTTATAATCTTCCAGAAACAGTTTCAATGATGGCACAATGTAAGGTTTCTCTTGGCAGGATTGCATCTTTTCTTTGTCAGGACGACATAAAGTCAGATATTGTTGAGAATCTTCCAAAGGATAGTAATAGTTCCGATTTAGCAATTGAAGTAGTTGATGGAAATTTCACCTGGGATTTGTGTTCCTCAAATGCAGTATTGAAAAATATAAATCTTAAAGTTTTTCATGGAATGAAAGTTGCTATTTGTGGTAGTGTTGGATCAGGAAAGTCTAGTTTACTTTCATGTATATTAGGGGAAGTTCCAAAGATGTCAGGGATCTTGAAGGTTTGTGGGACAAAGGCTTATGTATCTCAATCACCATGGATACAAAGTAGCAAGATAGAGGATAATATACTGTTTGGGAAGGATATGAAAAGGGAAAGATATGAGAAGGTTCTTGAAGCATGTTGCCTAAAGAAGGATCTAGATATTTTGTCATTTGGAGATCAAACAATCATTGGGGAGAAGGGAATAAATTTGAGTGGTGGACAGAAACAAAGAATACAAATTGCTCGTGCTCTATACCAAGATTCTGATATATATCTATTTGATGATCCTTTTAGTGCTTTGGATGCTCATACAGGATCTCATCTATTTAAGGTGACTCGTTCTTATTTGTTTGCAGCATAGAATGATTTTCTTCTAAACTACGAATACGAACAATGACACTCATGTGTCAGTAAATGATCATTTTCATTTTATGCATATGTATGGCAGGAATGCTTGTTGGGATTTTTAAGTTCAAAGACAGTGATTTATGTCACACATCAAGTAGAGTTCTTACCTGCTGCTGACCTTATCTTGGTAAGAAATTCTCAAAAGTTCATATCATTAATTCAAGAAGAATTTGCATGATTTTTTTCCCATTTATCTTATCAAATTCTGCATTGTTTGTAAGGTTGTGAAAGATGGAGAAATTACTGAATGTGGAAAGTATAATGATCTACTCAACTCAGGCACTGATTTTATGGAACTTGTTGGTGCTCATAGAGAAGCTTTGTCTGTACTAGACTCATCAAATGGAGATGCAAATACAACAGAATCTGATAAAATACAAGAGAAGAAAGAAGTGCAAAATGGGGGAACTGATGAAATGTTTGAGCCCAAAAGCCAAGGCCAACTTGTTCAAGAAGAAGAAAGAGTGAAAGGTAAAGTTGGATTTTCGGTGTATTGGAAATATATCACCCTAGCATATGGAGGGGCTCTTGTTCCACTCATATTGATAGCTGAGATTTTGTTTCAACTTCTTCAAATCGGAAGCAACTATTGGATGGCTTCAGCAACTTCAATCTCAAAAGATGTTGATCCACCTGTTGGAGGAAGTACACTCCTAATTGTCTATGTTGGTTTGGCCATAGGAAGTTCTTTTTGTGTCCTAGCTAGAGCAACACTCGTTGTCACAGCCGGTTATAAGGCAGCTACTCTACTCTTCAACAAAATGCATCTTTGCATTTTCCATGCTCCAATGTCATTTTTTGATGCCACTCCTAGTGGAAGAATCCTTAATAGGGTATGTGTGCAAATGTGTAAAGTGCAGTGGACATATATTCAGAGAAAATGTTTTGGCAATTTCATTTTCATGTTCTCTTGTAGGCTTCTACCGACCAAAGTGCAGTGGATATGAACATTCCTTTTCAAGTTGCACTAGTTGCTTGCTCTATGATCCATCTCCTTGGAATTATATGGGTCATGTCACAGGTTGCATGGCAGGTTTTCATTGTCTTTATTCCTATGACAGTAATCAGCATATGCTATCAGGTATTGTCTTTGGTTTTAAGATGTCAACCTATTATCATTTTTCAACATCTTACAACTTATAATTGTGTGCATTGCAGAAATATTATATTCCATCAGGCCGGGAACTATCTCGTTTAGTCGGAGTATGCAAAGCTCCTGTCATTCAGCACTTTGCTGAAACAATTTCAGGTACATCAACTATCAGAAGCTTTGATCATGTGTCAAGATTTCAACAAACAAATATGAAACTGATGGATGGGTATTCACGACCCAAGTTCAATATTTCCGGTGCTATGGAATGGTTGTGCTTTCGCTTAGATATCTTGTCATCTGTCACATTTGCCTTCTGCTTGTTATTCTTGATATTTTCTCCACAAGGAATCATAAATTCAAGTAAGAAACTCAATTCTCGTATCTTAACTTATATAATAGGGTTGAAGAACATAATATCCTTACTCCATATTTGTTGTTTTTGAAGGTCTTGCTGGTTTGGTTGTAACATATGGCCTTAACCTAAACATTATACAAACATGGATGATATGGGAGCTTAGCAACTTAGAGACCAAAATTATATCAGTAGAAAGAATACTTCAGTATACTTGTATTTCTAGTGAGCCTCCTCTTGTTGTAGAGGAAAATCGACCGCACGCTTCTTGGCCATTATATGGCACAATTGATATTCACAACTTGCAGGTAGAGTAGGAGTCATTATTATTTTTATCGTTTGCTATCTTTTGTCTTGTGTGATTGATTTTTGTATTACCTTTCTGTTTAATGAAGGTGCAATATGCTCCGCATATGCCACTTGTTTTACGCGGCCTTACGTGCACATTCGTTGGAGGACTGAAAACCGGAATCGTTGGGAGAACAGGAAGTGGTAAATCAACTCTGATACAAGCACTTTTCAGAATTATAGAGCCTATTGTTGGAAGAATTTTGATTGATGGTATCGACATATCTTCCATTGGACTACATGATTTGAGGTCGAGATTGAGCATTATTCCTCAAGATCCAACCATGTTTGAAGGTACTGTCAGGAGTAACTTGGATGCACTGGAAGAGTACACAGATGAACAAATTTGGGAGGTACACACTATACTTATAGTCATTTTTCAAATTAGTAGTATTGCATGTTGATTAACATTATTTAATATAGGCACTAGATATGTGTCAACTTGGAGATGAAGTTAGAAAGAAAGAAGGAAAGTTAGACTCATCAGGTTTGTCTTTTAAACCTATGAAACATATATTCTTGGAATGAACCTATTGTTTATATCAGAAATGGATGTTGCAGTGAGTGAGAATGGTGAGAATTGGAGTATGGGTCAAAGACAGTTGGTTTGTCTTGGTAGGGTGCTGCTTAAGAAGAGTAAAGTATTGGTACTAGATGAAGCTACTGCATCGGTTGACACGGCTACCGATAATTTGATACAGCAAACTCTTAAGCAACATTTTTCTGATTGCACAGTCATTACAATTGCACATAGAATAACTTCTGTTATTGACAGTGATATGGTTCTACTACTTAATCAAGGTGAGAAAGGATATGTTGTATTGTATCATATTCTTCTTTGAACTTGGAAATTATTGGACACTAATGCAAAACAATAATGCAGGACTAATTGAGGAATATGATTCTCCAACAAGATTGCTAGAGAACAAGTTATCGCCTTTTGCTCAACTTGTTGCTGAGTATACCAGAAGGTCCAACTCCAATTTAAACCCACAAAATTAGCAGATAAACCACAAAACAAATTCTCAACAATGATATGACATACTCCATTCTACTTGCAATCCCTAACAATCATTAAATTCGTAGAATATTAAAGAGATTATCACGATTATTGTTGAGCATACCTTATATTATGGAGATTATTACGAATATTGTTGAATATGACTCATATTGTGGAAATTATTTTGAGTATTGTTGAGTATGACTCAAATTGTGGTAATTATTATGAGTATTGACTCATACTGTTGAGATTATTGTTGAATATAGTTCATATTATAGAGACTATTATGTGTAGGTAACGAGGAGGTGCGGGGGCTTCAACGGTATTATTGTAAATTGAGCTTTAGTATTATATAAATTGCTCATAACATTGTAACTCTAACAAATCCTAACTATTAGATAGAAATAAAGGAAATTATAGTCGCTCTATAGTCGCAGAGGTAGATATCATTGACCGAACTGCATTAATAAAGATTTATCTTGTTCAGTGTCTTTCACTTTTGTTTCTCTTTTTTCTTTTATAATGGTTTCCGTTCTAACAGTTGGTATCAAATGACTATTAACTCTGGTGCCAAATTCGAAGTAACAAGGTTCGATGAGACAGAAATTTCATATTATCGTATATGAGGGTTAAGGATATGTTAGTTCATCAAAGTCTACAAAAGGTATTGTGTGAGACGAAATCGAACGAATTGAAGGATATCGATTGGACATAGATGGAGGAGAAGACTGCGAGATTGATTCGCCTATGTGTTTCAGACGAGGTGATGCAACATATCCTAGACATGAAGAAACTGAACGAGGTTTGGGATAAAATGAAGATTCAATATGTGTCAAAGACGATAATGAACACATTGTCCGTGAAACGACGACTATACAATCTGAAAATGCGGGGAGAATTTGATTTGTAACAACATGTCAATGACTAATTAAGGGGACAAATGTTGGACACAATGTCAAGAACAATTGTGCACAACTTAATGAAGCTATTTGACAGCAACTATGTGATGCGGTGCGAAAAATACCCGAGCAAAAGAACGCTCAAAATAATAACAGAGTCGCCACCGAAGTTTATTTATTCCAAAACAAAAGGGAAAATGTCGATAAAACCCTTAAAAGAACAAAAAATGATCGTCGCAACCAAATCGGGTTCCATAATCGATTATGCAAGGGAAAGATATTAGAACCCCTCACTTTTGTTGTACTCAACGGGACCTATTTAATTAGTTTTGCGAAAGAGTTTTAGCATGATGTTATTTGTTTCTTCTAATGCGTGCGTTTAAAAATAAATAAGAGACTAAAAAATTAGATTTTTACTAGGGTGTTTGACGAGATGTTGGATCTTGCTCTTACGTATCCTCTGGTGTGATGAGAAACTCAAGACTACGTAGTTCTTAGCGAAAAAATAGATCTTTTTGTATTTTTTTTATCATAGTGCTTGACAAGATTGTGAGTCTTACTCCTACGTATCCTTCGGTGCGATGGGGAATTCAAAACTATGTAGTTCTTAGTAGAAAATCACATATTTGTTGGATGGTTTTAAGGAGTGATACGTATGTCACATTGAGCGGTTAAACATTGCTTATTCCTCGCGCTTGGGGGTTGAAGCGTTTGTTTGTTTCACGTCGAATGGATAAAACATACTCATTTGTAAAAGGTTTTCGAAGTCGCACTAAGGCAAAAAAGATAGTTTGATTGGTTGTATTATTTTTAGGTGGAGACAAATATTTGAACAACGAGCTTCACAATATTATTCAAATACACAAGGAAGGAAGAGGCATACACCTAATCAATCTCTTTTCATCCAAATTTATTGAAAAATGTGTGAGGCGAATAAAGTCATGATATAAGAACAAGATTTAGTTCTGTATTTGGCCTTTAGTTTTGATAATAACAATAAATAGGTGATTAGATAACAATTTAGTATCCTAATGGTTTTATCTAGTGTGTAGCTTCTACTAGTAGGTCCTGATTTTGAAGATATGGCGTGTGTCGTCATCAGACTCTGAACTCAATACACTGTGATACAAGTGTGTGTTACAAGGTTCAAAATGCTTCTTTAGCTTTTAAAGGTTTTGACTGTGACTCTGATGATAGAGTTTCTCAAGGCTTCTTAAGCTGTGAAGATTCTATGCTCTCTTGATCTAAGGTTCTGAAGACTCTAAAGAAAAGGTTTTGATGAACATGTTCTGAAGGCTCTAAAGATCAAGGTTCTGAAGACTTTGAAGACAAGGTTCTGGTGAACAAGTTCTGAAGTCTCTAAAGACCAATGGCTCTGAAGACTAAGTTTTGAAGATTCTGAAGACAAGGTTCTACTGAACAAGTTTTGAAGACTTTGAAGAAAAGGCTCTCAAGACAAGGTTTTTGATCCTTTCAAACATGCTTCAATTCATATGTATTCTGAAGTCTCTGAAGATTAGAAGATAAGGTCAAAAGTATTTACATGATAAATAGTACAAGATCAACTCCTTATACTACTCTGATCCTGTGGCGCAAGGACTGTACTATTGATACAATATTGTCTACCACTCACACTGACTGTTATGTAAGAAGACTGCTAGAATTTGGTATTAACATTTTACCCTTCAACGAGTCTATTTTTGGCTATAAAAGGAAGACTTGGAAAAATTGGAAAATAACCTTTTACGCTGAATCATTTTGATAAACGCTCCTAAACTTTCCATTGAATATATTTGGTAAAGTTTTGTAAAAGTAAGGAACTTTTGTTCGTTAAATTGCTAGCAATGAACTGATGTTCTTAAACTTGCCTCTAACACTATTGTGCTATTTCTTTGTATTTCAACTTGTGTTAATGTGCTTTCTTAGAAGCATCTTGTAAACACACAAACTTGTATTTTAACTTAGAGTTGATAATTCCTTGAGAGACTAGGGCTTTAGTTAGGATTCTCAAGAAGATGTTGTCGGGTAGTCTTTGTGGTTGTAAACATTGGCGGATAGTCTTTGTTTGTGTCTGTAACCAGTTTTGTTATAGTGAATTAAATCCTTATTGAGAAGGAGAAGTCACCTTTATGGATGGACTAGATTAATTGTGTTAACAGTGAACCAGGATAAAAATAATTGTGTTCATTTATTTTTATTCTTGTATTAGCTTTGGTGTTTGGTTTTGAAAAGATTTCATTTCTAGAAACCCAATTTAAACTCCCCTTTCTTGTGTTTCTCTCACCTTTAATTGGCATGAGAGATCCGGTTCTGGTATTGATTGTTATCAAACACTTCACCGTGTCAGATAAAGATCCAGAGTTTTCAGAAACACTATGGCAGAAATTCCTCCACCAACTGCCCAGATTGTTGAAATGATAACTATATTTTCAAACCTCCAATCTTCAATGGAGATAAGTTTGACTACTGGAAGGATAAAATTGAAATATACTTTCTTGGTCATGACATATATCTCTGGGATATGGTAGTCAATGGCTACACAGATCTAGTAGATGTTAGTGGTAACAAAGTAGAAAGAAGAGTGATGACAAAACAATAAAATAAGGATTATAAGAATCATCACAAGACTAGAACTATCGTGCTGAACGCTATCTATTATACTGAGTATGAAAAGATCAAAAATAGAGATACTACAAAGTCTACTTTTGATTCTTTGAGAATGACTCCTTAAGTAAATGCCCAAGTTAAAGAAACCAAGGCGCTTGCCTTTATTCAGAAGTATGAGGCATTAAATATGGAAGATGATGAAACTATTGAGAACATGTTCTCAAGGTTTCAAACTCTTGTTGCAGGTGATAACACTGAACCGCACTGCATATTTGACTCGATTTGCACATGTTTATTAGGTTTTTATTTTTATTTTCTTGTGTTATGTTTGCATTTTGTTTTGTTTTCAGTTTTTTTGTCTTTCCTAAGCCTTGCTTGAAGAAATGAAGAAAACCGAGTTAAAAATCAAGATTTGGGAGTTTTTGCACTTATGGCTTCCACCATGGCGCCCTCCATAGGGTCAACCATGAGGCGGCCTACTTCAGCCAACTTCCAACTGCCATGTTCTCCATTACTTCTTCATTTTTGGAGAATGGCGTCCGCCACACCCCCCATGGTGGGCGCCACCTTTGAAAATTCAATTCCCGCTCAAAAGAAGTTGGAGGGCATTCTTGTGATTTCCAAAATCCTCCTAGGCCTATAAATAGAAGTGATTTCAGTTCTTCTTCTTCATCCAAGCTTAGTTGCACTGACTTAAGCCATATATTGTTCCATTGTAAGCGACAATCTCTTCACATCAAAGAATTATCCCACGATTCATTGAGTCTGTAATCAAGTTTGGAGCACTTTACAATCTTGCCGCCATTTTAATTCAAGTTTCCTTTATTTCAGTCAAATTTACCTTCCAGTCAAGTTGATTTAAAGCCCTCCGTTTGGAGAAGGTTTCTATTTAAGTTTCCACATTTATCACACTTATTTTCTCGCACTTGCTTTACTTTGTTTATTTTATCTCACTCGCTCTTGCTTTACTTTATTTATTTCCTTGCACTCGCTTTACTTTATTTATTTCCTCGCAATCGCTTTACTTTATTTATTTCCCCGCACTCGCACCTATTTAACATGTTTGTTTACATTTCCATGTCTGGCTAAAATTTAAAGGTTAGAATGTAAGGATCATAGTTAAAGTGATATTCCATTTAGTGTGTCTGTAGAAATACCTAAAGGGTTGTTTTGGTTTTTAACACAAGTTTTCTGCACTTTATTTTTGTTGGGTAAGATCGAAAGTCGTCCAAACTTTAGTTAAATTTGGGTAGTCTTAGTTGTTCAAAGGAAGCGAAAGTGCTTTGTTCAGTTAAGTAGGAATCTTTTAACACTTTTAGAAAAATGATTTCAAAGCTCTTTTTGGACGCGTTTATGGGTTTAAAGGTCTAGTCATCTTTTGGTTAGAAGTTCCAGTAAAAATTACTTTTCAACTAAGTCAAGAAATTATATTTCTTAAAATTAGGTTTATTACTTTAACACAATGCGTGTCTTTTTATAAGTGATAATAAGAGGGT